TTCTTTGGCCTCAGCTTTGTTTTCCATTCAACCTCTGACCCATCCTACAGCTCTACTCACACAGTTTCATGCAGAATTAAACCTGAGGCTGTTCAAGGGTTTTTCTCTGTCACCTCTTTGCTATCTTAGATTGCCTTAAAGGTCAAGTGCTAATTAGCAAACAAACGTGTTCTCAGGGGTGGAGAAGCCTGAAAGAAAACCACCTGGAGTTAACTCCAGGAGTGCTGCCTGGTGCTGCACTGAGCTTCTGAGGACAATTCCTTCTTCCCAGTGTCTCCAAGGTAATTAATACCATTTCCATTTCCAAGGGAGCACAGAAATTACACAACTTGTTCCTGAACACTGTGGCAGAGAGAGGAATTAATTATCTTCTGTGTGATTTAATCATCAAACTGTGTTTTCTCTGTGCTAACTTAGATGTAACCAATTCTCAAACTCAACAACCAAAGCAGCAAAAACATTCCAGGGGAGCTCTTGGTCCATTGGTTTTCCACACTTGTTTTCCCTAATATTAAATGAATAATCCCATGGAGAAATAGCCTTTTCCCATGTGCAGAAGTTGCTCTTCCCAAGCTCTTCCTCCTTTCATCCTAGATCTGGGTGTATCTCTAGGAGAGTTAAACCAACCAAAAACCCAACCAGAACCCAAAGGCTTTGCCAGTTCTTTTCCTAAGCATGGAAAAGAGCCAACACAGTTCCCAGGGAGCTCCTGCTCCAAGCCCCAGGCCTATCCCTTCCCCAGCCCAGCAGAAGGAGTGAGCTGGGAGCTTCCCAGGTTTTCCTGAGCCAAGGAAGTCTGTAGCAATCCCCTGAGCTTGTCTGTATGCTGAGCACAGATCCACAGATCTCTCTGCCAAGGAGGAGGGAAATGAGGGAGATTTTCTCCTTGCTGCAGACTCCCTTGACCCACTTTAGCTCCACAGCCTATTCCTGGGGTGGCTCCAGCTGAGATCCTTCCTGACTCCCAGGTAGGAAGAACTTCCCAAACCAAAGGCATGTCCTGTACCTGCCTGGGACACTTTGCTGTCTTCCCTCCAGCCCTCTCCTCCTGCAGGATCCCTGGAGAGGCTGCAGGAGCAATCCAAGGAGCCTTTTCCACACCAGCACTGACTTTTCTCCTGGACAGCTCTGCACAGAGCAGGTCCTGAGGCCTTTGCTGCCAGAGCTGCTGTCACACCTGTCCCCAGAACAACAGGTCACCATGCTCTGAGAAGCCTTTTGGGACTGTTCCTACTTGCAACTCCAAAGGAATTGGGTTAGGATCCAATAAAGTTTCCATCCTGCATTGCCTTTTCCATTTAGGAATGGTACAGTTTCTCTCCAAGGCACTTTTGCAGAGGGAGAATTCTCTTCAATAGTATTTTTGGCCTTGTTCCTTTTTTTATAAGCAGCATGAGTGTCTTCAGAGGCAAAGCCTGGACTGGGGGAAGTGGCAGGAAACACTTTCTGTCCTCAAGGAAGAGATGAGTCATGGATAAAGTGTTGACAGAAGTGACTCCAGTTCAGATCCTGCAGAACATCCATGGCATGGCCAAAGGGATCCTTGGCTGGCAAGTTCTGCTGTGGTTAATCCAAGAAGGAAGTGACCAAGGAAGGCCAAATGCAGCTTATACAGAAGGCAAAGTTAGGGAATTGGTTCCTTCCAGTTTCAAAGCAGAAATCCAGAAGGTTCTAGGAAGAGCACAGGAGTTAGGTGGGGTTTAGGTGGGTTTTCCTTCCCTGTGAAGTGCTGAGGCTCTGGCACAGGTTGGCCAGAGAAGCTGTGGCTGCTCCAGCCCTGGGAATGTTCCAGGCCAGGTTGGATGGGGCTTGCAGCTCCCTGGGCTGGTGGAAGATGTCCCTGCTCATGGCAGGAGTGGGATGAGATGAGTTTTAAGCTCCTTCCAACCCAAACCATTCCAGAATTCTAAGTGTTCCACGGTAGCAAGTTCACCTGGAAGCAGCTCAGAAGTCCCTGTGGTTATCCCAGGGTGCAATCCCAAGGAATAGCAGCCCACCTTGTCCTGGTAGCTTCCCCTGGCTCCTTGTCCTGGCTGTCAGGGAGTTTTGTGAGGGAGATGTTTCCCCAGCTGAGGCATTTTTGCCAAGTGCAAAGCATTGCCCTGTTGACAGGTGCTCAGAGCACTCCCTGGGTGATGTTTGGAGTCTGGGCTGACTTGTCAAGGAGTTCCTGAAGGGAATGTCTGTGGTTTGCTCCTTCCTTAGCAGCTGAGGCTTTCTGTGGGCAGGAGAAGGAGTCAGTGGAGCAGGAGATGAATTTATTAAGCGCCTCAGACAAAGCTCTGCAGGAGCAGAACGTGAAGGTCAGGCTGAGCAATCCTGAAGAGATTCCATTCCTTTCTCTCCTGCATTTTTTTGCTGGCTGCACAGCCCCAAGGCTGAGCCCAGGCAGGACTTGGGCAGTTACCAGCAGAGGGAACTCTCATTTCAGCCATGGCTAAGGAGGAACACAAGGAGAAAAACAACCCACAAAGCAGCTCCTGTTTAATTACTGCTAGGACTGTGCTGCTCAGTCTGCGTGTGCTTGAAAACAAGGTGGAAATTTGGGGTTGCTTCCATTTTCACTCTGCTTAATCCTTTCTGGCCATGAGCAGAGACAACACTGGAGCTGTTGGGAGCTCTGAGCTAATCACCTGCCTCTGTCCCAGACAGGTCTGTGCTCCCCTGAGCTCACACAGCTCAGCCAGAGCAGGGAATTCTGCTGGAATTCTCCCAGGAGCCCTGTCAGTTCCTGGGGCTTCTGTGCAGATGAGGAGAGTGAGGCAGAGAACAAACAACATGTTCCACCCTGGTAGTTCTGTCCCTCCAGGAGGAGCTCAGGGAGGTGTTGGCTGGGAAAGGTGAAGGTTTATTTCAGAGCTGATGTGGCATCCACAGGGGGAAAACTTGGCACTTCTGTTCCTCCTCCTTGGTTTTTACAGCTTCAGAGAGCACAAAGGCAGATGCTGTTTGGTATGTGCTTACCCTGTGCAGGTGGATCGTGGTGGAACTGATGTTTTCCTGCTCACAGGGAGAGTAAAGGCTGTTACTGCTTTGAGCTCAATGCATTGCCAGTCTTGAGGAGCTCCAATTTGGGGGACAGCAAGGAAAGATTCCCATGATGGTCCTTGTGTGTTGGGATTTACTTTCCTGCAGGTAGGATGAGCACCCAACCCTTCACTCAAAGGTTGGTGTCTGTGTACAGCCAGTGTGTGAAGGGGCCTGGAAGATGAGCAGAGGTCACCCAAAGCTCATCTGTCCCATGGCCAGCAGCAAACTGTGCTCCAAAGGGCTATTTTCCCCCTAAAATGGACTGTGCCAAGGCAGTAACAATCTCAGCCCTCTCAGCTCCAACAGCAGCATCTTTGTTTTAGGGATGGTGGACAAAGCAGCCAGTGGAGTTTGCATCCTCTGGAAGTTTAATTGCTTGACATTTATGAGCTAAACCTCCAAAAATCCCTTCCCAGAGCAATGCCAAATAGTTCCCAAGGAATTCCTTCATCCTGCTTGTTCCTGAGGAGCTGAGTTTGCTTTCAAGGCAAATTTTCAGCTTGCTCTGGTTTAGTTTCACCTCAGAGCTGTCGTGTCCCAAGGTTTGGGAGGTCTCAGACATGTGATGAGCTCTGATTTCTTCATGGTTTTATGGTGAATGTGGCAGGAGAAACAAAACCCCAGGATGGTTTGGGTTGGAAAAACAAAACCCCAGGATGGTTTGAGTTGGAAGGACCTTAAAGCTCATCCTGTGTCACCCTATGCCCTGAGCAGAGATATCTTCCTCTGGCCCAGGTTGCTCTAAACGAGGCCTGAGGTGTATTAAGCACTTTAGTTCCTGATTTTAATATAAATTATGTTTCCTCTGGTTGGATAAATTCTAAGATGTCTTTTT